TACTGGTGTTTCTGATTGCTTTTTCTCCCCGGGTGCTTGGGCTGAGCCCCAGAGCCCGGGCAGGACCCTGGCTGGGCAGGCAGCAGGCTCCCGGGCAGCTGTGCCGTGGGCAGGCACGGGCTCATGCTGCACCTCTCACAGATGGAGCATCCATTTATTTTTTTTTTTCCCTGGATGATTTGTTCCAATGGTTAATCATCCTCACGCAAACACAGGATTTTTATTTATTTTTTTCTTAAAATGACACACCAGTAAATAACATTCAGAAAGTTTAGGACGGGCTTTCTCTTCACGGGGCAATCTCTTGATTTCTATTACTGCTGTGATGATTGCCTAAAATTAACTGGGACTTCACAGCTCCCCTCTGCCCTTGCAAGACTAGCTTTGAACTTGAAAGCCTCCTACACAAAGTGCTTTGCGCTATCAACCTGGTCACAGCAGAGGTGAAAAATGTGGCACTGAAGAAAGTGGCTTTCCAATAAATACATCCACAGTACAACCATGCATGACTCACAAGATCAAAGACAGAGTGCAAGTACTGAGGTCATTAAACATGAATGGAAATACAGAAATGCAACAGCTTGCATTAAAGGCTTAGCTTGACTTTAAAGTTAAGTGATGAAAGCTTATGTAGTCAGCGATTGTTCACCAGTGACAATGCTCTGCTCTTGCCATCAGTACTTCTGTGCTTGACAAAGGTGAATAAGAATAATTAATCATTTTTCAGATAAAGTACCGAGGTGTGGGGCAGTTAATGACTTGTAGCAAGTGAAAACAGGCTCAGAGATGCTCAGCATCATCAGCTCTAGGGAAAGTCAGAGCACCACGGATGTCAGGCCTGTTGGAAAATCAGCTCTTGGTCACCAGTTCTACAACTGAGGGGTGAGTAAGGATTTAACCCACACAAGGTCCTTCGTGAACGACATGGCATCAGAGGTCACCAGCCCTAAAGGAGGTTTTGGGTAAGACTTCCATCAGCACAGCCCCATTCCAACACGACTCTGCACCAGCTCTCCAAAGACCATCTTCACTGAGTCCTTCTCTGGTGGCTCCACTTCTTTGAGATGTTGCACACTTCATAACATTCCAAAGTTTAAGAACACCATAGCATGGGAGATGCTTCCCAGTATCACAAGAGAGTTGATTGTAGCCTGTACGGTGTTTTGAGAAACTATAGAGGAAGCTGTGCTAAAATTAAGGATTTTATGGGACCTCTATTAGAAAACAGCCCCCCTGCCATGTTTCTAATAAATTTTTGATTTGCAGCAAACTATCTAATAAGCTTTCTGGGGTATTCTGATACTGCACAGAATAATCTAATCTGCAGCCTAAGTTAATGAAGTGCCTTGAGATATTTAACATCACGTTCTACCAATACGTGTCTGTTACTCTGTCCAGAGCTGCTTCTCTCAGGGTGGTTTGTTGGCAATTCTGAGCATGTGCAGATGCTACAAAGGAGCAAGGTGAGGGTGCTTCACTGTGTGGGGCAAGTGGCAGAGGTATCCTTTGCTGGGAAGGGAAGGAAAATGCCAGCTTTGCTCTCCTCTGAGCTCAGCACAGCATGTCCCAGGGCAGCCCCGCAGCATATGGCAGTGGAGGTGTAGCTGTATCACATCCAGGTAGAGCCCCAGGAAAGAATTGTTACTAACAGACTAAGCCAAATTCCTGCCCTTTTCCTCAAGGCTGCTGGCTTCACACCATTCTGGGAGGCAGCTTTGTCTCCCCTGGTGCAGATCTGGTACTGGAAAAGCAAATGATGACAGCTCGTGGGCTACGCAGCCCCCTGCTCATCCTCCACCTCCAGCACGACCACTGAATGAGATCTTTAATCAATAAGATAATTTGGCTAGGAACAAATATTTCATCCCCTTTCCTAGGAAACACCATCCAAATCTAAGAGCAGGGCTAGAAGCACCCCACAGCACTCCAAGTGCTGAGCATTGTAAACCACCATAGCCACTACTGGTGGAGATTTCAGACCAGCATCATTTTTCAAGCTGGCCTGACATTTAAGTTTATGCTAAAAACTTCCACTGACTTCAAGATTTGGACTGGGAACGTTTGCAAGGAATGTGTTAAATACCTGGTGAGTGAGTGAAGATGCCAGCAGCCATCCAGATTTTTCCAGAGCAGCTCTGGGTGCAACCACAACTCCTCACCACAGATATGCAAAAGCAAGCGAGTGGTGACCTCTGAGCCAGACTGCACAGACCCTCTGGGGAGAGGATGCTGGTATTTCCTGTGATACTCAGCACTCGTGCTGCCCAGAATATAGAAAACCATTGTGCATCTGCCTGGAGGTGTATAGAGAAGACTCAGTCTAGCTTCTGGTCAAGCACAGGTAGATGGAAGAGCTGGAAGAGCCCCGCTGCCATGCAGCTCACCAAACCATCCCAGTGCTTTGTGTGTTGGTCAGTGGGGATGGGGAGAGAGGCTCAGACCATCTGGGTTTTTGCAAGTGAGCCCATGATTTGCACAACAAGCTGCAATAGCTTCTCACGTGGACATGGGAGGTAATTAACCCCAGCTCTCGCTGAGCCTTGGCCATTAGCACTCTGAGCAAGACCAGCAGCACTCTGGGGTTTTTTCCAAGGCAGCTTGGGGTATGGGGGCTTACAGCCATACCTCACAGGTCTCAACAGCATCAGCAGTGCTCAGCTCATTCTCCCTAACGTTATTTCTGTGATGTTGTTGGCCAGAGTAGGTTTGCATCCTCTGACACCCCTTCTCTGATTGTGGCCAAATCTCCGTGACCCACTTTCCCCATAGGCAGACTGCAGGATGCTGTGAGAACATGTTAATGCTGTGCTTTGGAAGCGTTATAGGTTTTTTGCAACTTTCTTTTCTCAGATTTTAGAAAGAATATTTATCCTCATGTGCCCCTCCAGCCCCTTCTGGTTTTTCATACTTTCTTGGTGCGCTCTCAGCCAGCAGGACAGACTTGCAAAGTGGTGTTTGTAGGTGTGCTGGCACCAAGGACTGGTTCATTTTCTGCCAGGTGTCTGTCCTCTGGTATTTAGTTTCACCTCTTCTGGAACAAAGCCCTACACCATCCATCCAAATCCTGAATTAAAGCTTCTAGAGTTCCTTCTCCTTTGTGCTAGCATGGCCAGGATCATAACCTGCCTGATATTACAAGTAACAAAAATATAAAATTAACTTCCAACAGTGCTGATCCTGCCCTCAGAGTACACCAGAAGTCCTGAGACAGCCCTGGAAGCTACATGCAAGCAAAAAGCACAGAATACAGACATTCTTTTTAAACTTCTTTGTACCCTTTTGCTGTAGCAAGGCCAGGTCTGGTTGCTGGTGATGGCAAAGCATCTGTTCTCTTCAGTGTGGAAGAACCAAACTCACCCATCTAAGGAGGTCAGTGCTGAGATGGGGGATGCCTTGGGGTTGGACTAGATGACCTTTAAAGGTCCCTTCCAACCCAAAACATTCTACAATTCTGTGCTCAGAGACTGGCATTCCATACAGCAGTGCAGCTTGATAAGCTCAGTCTAAATAAAACCATCAGGTCACCCAAAGGTGATTTTTTTCATCCCCCGCATGTGTGATTGACTATACAACTTGTGCTTAATTTTTCTAGAAGTGAAAAATCTGGTCCTTGCAGCTTTTAAGGAGGTTTTAAAATAACTATTCTCCCATCTCTGTGGTTTAAATAGAATCATAACCATACTACTTATAGCCTGGAAGAGAGAGATGATGCCAAAGTATCAGGCATTTTTAATAGAGTAAGAGAAAGAAAACACTGGCTTGGGTACTGTCAGAATTAGGAAAAAGAAGGCAAGATTTAAGTTAGATATCACAGTTCTAGGCCCCTATGAAGCAAGCTTCTTAAGTTTTATGGAAATATGATCCTGCAGAAGCTGGAACCCTGCTGAAACTCAGGCAGAACACTAAAACAGGCATGTAGGGTATACTTGGAACACAATTCCCAGCAACAGCATCGATGCTTTGCCCCCAGGGCTCTGTAACACAACTCTACCCCCCTACCCTCCAAGACTCACCAAGCTATGATCTGGTATTCCAGGATGAAAATATGACTAGCACTAATAACCAACTTCTGCTGTGATCTGAAGTTCTTGACAGCTTTCCTTCAGTACCTAGATGCATTTTCAAATAGCTCTGGAAATTAGCATTAGGTCTGATGTTGTTTTCAAGGTTTGCCATCTACGGTCATATTTCTTAGCCCAGCTCTGGCAGTACCAGTACAGCTCCAGCTTCCTCCTGGCTACCTTCTCTGCAGTTATACCAAAAGCTCAAATTGCAAACTCCCCTTATGCACTTCAAGAAATGCTGCCTCTCTGCTGTGCAGATCTTGAGTTGAGGGTGCAAAGCAAAACATGACCCCAAACCAGAAGCCCACCTCATTTCACTCCCTGCCTAAATCTGAAGTTGCCCCCTTAGCCCTCTTCTGATCTAACTGTCACACACATCTCTTCTGTGCTCGCTTCACAGTCAGGACTACTATTTCTCAGCTGATGTCTAACAACTTTGGAATACTCTTTACAGAAACAGTCTTAGCAAAGACAGGGGTTTCAGGGAAATTGAGCTTATCTCTGTCATTTTGTGTGCAGCTGGCTCCTGCACTGTGATGATGGATGTTTGTTAAATATTACATGATAACATCAGAAAAAGCACCTCAGGGAGAGCTTCCTCTGAGATGGCTTAAAAACTTGTGTCAGGATCCTGCCATCAGGCTGCCGCCTGAAATACTTTCAGAAAAGTTTTTCTAGAACAATAAAGCAGGTTGAAATGCCATGCTTAATAGATGTAGATTACCCATTAAGAATATAGTTTACAAATTATTACAGTACCAAGCCACCACGTTCAACTGCTTTGCCAACTAAAATTAGCCATCAACAATTACACGCTCTTCTCTGTCATTGACAGAGAAGCCATTGGCTAAAACAGAAATTTGGGTTCAGTAGACACAAAGGATTGTGCTATTTAAACCTGGTGCCCATCATGAACTTAAGTCTTCTTAAAAATATCTTTAGTCACTTTTATTGGTATAAACACCTAAATTGAGATCTAACAGCAAATAAGGATTGTGCTTGTCCATAATAACCTCAGCTGTGAAATCTACTCAGACACAAGACATACAACCTTCCACATACACAAGTTATTTGTCAGCAAAGCAGAATGCTGCCATTCTGAAACAATTACATACAGTAAAGGTTTTCAATATTTTATTAAAGAAAACAGTCAAAATGTACAAGTATTACCCAGGTTTGTAGATAACTTCCTATAAAGGCAGTAAAATATGATTTTCAATCTAGGTTTTAAAAACTGCTATAGTTGATTATTTTTAAAGTTGGTATTTTAAAATCACGTTTCACAAATAGTTCTGAAATATTACCAAATGAATAGTGCAACAAGAAAATTGAAATTAGTTCTACACTGTTTGCATGTCAAGCAAAAGTTAAGTAACTGCTTCAAATACCCAAACCATTTGAGAATGAATGAACCCAACAGCTCCCAGCAAAAGCTGGCTTCTGACCACACTAGGAATGTCCTCTTCCTGTTCGTCACTTAAAATCAAATAATAACAAAACAACACCTTTTGAGGTCATCAAAAATAACTTTAGTATAAAATTGTCTTGGCCCTTATCAAATATTACATGAGTAAAATTGTTAAGCCTTTATCAAAACAGACAGGAATAGGGAAACAAAAAAAAGATGTCATGGCCTTAATCCGTATCTGTTGGAATCATGTCTAGAAACGTTAGAAGCAAGACCAGAAACTTGGAGCCCTGTTTTGTTTTTAAAAACCACACAATCACAAAGAAAAACAGCTTCTTACTGCCTAGGGTTTGGGGGTGTTCTGCTCAAGTACCTGTTCCCATAGACAGCAACCTCTTATGTTCTGAGGAGAGCATACACAAAATATAGAAAAATAAATAAAATAGCTTCTTACAGCCTAAGGTTTGGGTGCTGGGTGGTGGTTTAGTATGTCCCCCACAGGTCACACTCTCTTGAGATCATATGTAGAAACATGGAAAATTATATCCATCTTTCTTTTTTTTTTTTTTTTTTGGAAAAGTCCCCCCTACATCCCAAAGCTCTTGAGATCGCAAAGGATGGTGCCCTGGGTGCTCTGGATGCTTTGGCAGCATGGGAAGTGGGCTCGGAGGCAGACCCTGAGCTCCTTGTTGAAGATGAAGCAGAGGATGGGGTTGACCCCTGCCTGGGCAAAGGTCATCCAGACGGAGGTGGTCAGGTAGACCTGGGGGATGGAGCTGGCCTTAATGAAGACCCGCAGGTAGCAGGCCACAATGTAGGGGGACCAGAGGAGCAAGAAGAGCAAGGTGATCATGTAGAACATCTTGCAGAGCCTCTTCTCCATCTTGAACTCCTCGAGCACCAGCAGCCTCTTGATCTGGCTGTGGGTGGCCTGCCTTATGCCCACGAGGGTGGGCGGCGTGGGCCCCCTGCCAAAGCCAGCCGTCCAGTTCGCAGCCGCTTGGCCGGTGGCTCCCGGCCCGTGGAAGGTCCAGTTCTGGCTGATGGCCGGTACCAGCTGGGCCGGCTTCATCTTGCGGTGGCCGTGGATGAAGAAGAGCAGCTTGATGTAGACCAGGTGGGTGGCGGCGATGAGGCGATGACGGCCGCCAGCATGAGCATGAAGCCCAGCGTGTCGTTGGCCTTGACGTAGCGGTGCTCGAAGATGCACTGCTCCTCCTCCCGGATGAACTTGTAGGTGCCCACGTCGAAGACGGGGGGGAAGGCCATGGCCATGGAGAGGGTCCACACCATGCACACCACAGCCAGGCAGGTCCAGCCCGTCATGCGCTTGGCGTAGAAGCGGTGGTGGGCGATGGCCATGTAGCGCGTGACCCCCA